ACACACACACACACACACACACACACACACACACACACACACACACACACACACACACACACACACACACACACCAAACCCACCTCAGAGTGCCAGATCTGGAGTTTCAAGGAAAAAAACCCCAGATTTTACCAGCTGACAGTCGGTGTCAATCAAAAAGCACTCAGATGATTCCAGAATCCTTCCCTGCTTTTTATTCTTCCTGTTGGTAGAGCAGCTGCACTTCCTGCCTCTGTTTTCTGGGTAAATGTACGAATTGGTGCCAAAATCTTCTGCCTGAGTGTGGCTCAGTTAATTTTGTGGACCTGTCATGACTTTATTTTTTTTAGAGAAGTGTTACATCTTTGTTAAAATAAAAAAAAAAAGTTCCCTTTGCTGTTTTGGTTGTTTGAAACCAGTCGGTCAACAATGTCCAACAAAATACTTACTTCTGATTGGACAGAAATGATTGATGCTGACAACAGCTTCACCTCTATTATATATTTAATAATATTGTCTCTAAATGATACAAAAAAACCCTCTCTCCTCTGTTATTTCTGTTTGAAGGCAGGCCAATAAATTGGCCCCAAACGTAGCAGCTTTTATTGTTTTTATCCCCAGAGGTTTAGCCTATTAGCATAAAACTCTGCTTATGTTCCGTGACTGTGAATTTAGAACAAGCAGACCTTTAAACAGGTGATAAACGGCTACAAATTAAGGGCAATGAGTGGAAAGCAAAGATAGCTTCTTTTTTTATCTTTTCTTGGTGCCCATTTAAAAGTTGAGTCAAGTTTTAATTTTTATGTTTAATAAAAAAATATCAGTGGAATTGGATGTTCTAACTTGAAAACGTCCTGATGTGCTGTATGAAATGCAGCTGTTGCAGTTCCACTTGTTTAATTTGTTGCTGTAGTTTTAAGAGTCAGGGTCACCTTGGGTCTCAGCAATCTGTTTCTCTTTTCTTTTTCAGGAAACTAAAATCAACTGCGTCCGTCTGGCCCGCAAAGGTATGAGCACCCTTCCACCGACATGTTTGTTATCAGGATGATCGGTCCTAGTTTGACCTTTGACCTCCTCAGTGACGTGTACCTGCAGAACACTGTGACCCTGTAGATTAGAGAGGAACACTTGCACAAACTACTGAAACAGGTCGAACCTAATCCCAGCCATGTAACCCTGCATGCTCTCCACGCACAGCAGCCTCTCCCCATTTAAAGCTCCTTCCTCCTCACCATCCTCATCCTCGCTCCATCGAGCTTTAAAGTCCTGCCTCCGAGCCACGGCTTCCTGCTCGACCCGTGGTCAGGCCCGAACAGGACGGGACGCAGAGAGTTTGACTTCCTGGTTCCGTCCTGCCTCCTCCTCCATGTCTCCAGTCTTTATTTGCTGCTCATCTTTTTGCAAACGCTCCCATTCGTGTGCACGTCGATGTGCTCTGAAAGCTTTTCAGGCTCGCTATTGATTTTTCTCACCTTCTATTTTTTTCTATCCAGTTTTTCATCTGCATCAGGCATTGATTTGATTTTTCCACATCTCCGCTCTCTTTCAGTCTCATCTACACTACATCAAGCCTTTATTGCTCATTTGTGCACATTTCTCTCTTTTATATCTCCTTTTTTTTCCTCACTTCATCTGTTGCAGCCAGGTTTTATCCCCGGAGTAATTTAGGTGTGTAAACACAGCGCTCTGATTGTCTGAGACAAGACATGCTTTTTGTTTTTTTTTTCTTTTCTTTGTGGCTTTTTCATTAAAAAAATTAATTATCCTAATTCTGTAATTCCTACAAAACTTTCAAGTTAATTTAAATTAAAGGAAAAAAATTAGGCAGATAAATGGATTTTAAAACTGTTTAAAGGCACAGTGTGTAAAATTTGTTGTTTTCAGCGACATCTAGTGGTTAAGTCGTTGAATCATCCTCCCTCGTCCTCCCCCC